CCCCTCCCCCCCGCTTACGGATTAGGTGAGCAACATTGACATCATGACCTTCGAGACCTCCTGCAACGTGGCCACCAACACCCGGGCGTGGAACAAGAGGACCCAGGGCTGGTTGGAGCGCTACGTTTACATGCGCACAGGTACGATACGGGGCCGTGATCGCGAGGTCGCGGCGGCCGCCTTCCCCTGCTCCTGAGGGGCAGGCCAAAGGGTTTTAACACCACCGCGGCGTCATGTCGTCAGCATGGGGTGCAGTGGTTTTGCTGACCCACCCCGCCCCACAGCCACCGCACGTACAGCGCAGAAGTACGAGATTCCCTCGTTTGGTTATGTCGTCGCGTTTGTTTGGGCCGTCGTCGTCAGGTTGGCAGACGCTTTGAGTAGGACACGGCCATGACTCTACATCCTATGTACGCATTGCCATGAGAGGTATTCGCGACTTTATGTTCGTCTGCGCCGTCGCTGTGCTCGTATTTGCGTCGCTGGGGGGGTTGCGTTTGCGGGGCGAGCCCCCCCCCCCCTCTCACCGCTATTTAGTGTCGTTTCACTCAAGAAGGGAGGTCTCTGTCTTTTTTTTTGCATTTCGAGTCGTGATGTTGTGTATGTATCACACCGTCGTTTGTCTTCTTCCCCCTGCGCTCGCTCGTTTTTTGTGTTTCGCCTGTTTTCTGAATATGTGGTTGGGTGCAGGCAACAGCCTGACCGCCACGTACTTTGTGTCGGCATTCTGGCACGGATTCTACCCCGGCTACTACCTGTTCTTCATGTGAGTCACAGCAGCAGTAGCAGCACCAGCAGCAGTAGCACCAGCACCAACCCCAGCGGTAGCAGCAGCGGTTTGCAGCACCAGCAGCAGCAGCAGCGGTCGAAGCAGCCGCAGCTCGTATCCGCCGTCCCGCAAGCAGGGAATGGTTGGGCCAAGAGTTTTACAGCAGTGCTGTACTGCCGTAGCCGAACGCGGTGTTCTCGGAGAAAAGGGTGTGGCAAGTACGGCCTCCGACGTCAGCGTACCACCGCCGGCACCTGTTTACCAGCATGCAGCTGTCCTTGGAGACCCCTTGTATTGTCTGACGTGTATGCTTAAAAACCTCGTACCTACGCCCCCCAAAGGTACAGTACCCGCCCTCCCTCTCCCCCTGTTGGTTGTTACTCTGATTCTATCAGCGTCTCTCCCCCCTCCCACCCCATTGTTGTGGTTTGGCCTTGACAGACGCGGTATGGTTTACCTAACCTTTTCACTTCCTTTGTTTTGTCCTTCCCCAAGGTGTCTTCCCATGCCCACCACATCGATGCACCCTGGAATACCCATGTCACGTACCTTTTGATTTCCATTCTTTCTCTTCTTTTTTTTTTTCCTACAGGAGCCTTCCCATGATCACCACCGCGGCGCGCGAGGGCAAGAAGAAGATCAGCCCGTACATGCCTCAGGAGGGGGCTGCGGGCATGGCGTATCACGGGCTGTGCGTCTTCTTGGTCACCCTGACGGTGAACTATCTCGTCATCCCCTTCCAGGTGTGAGTGTGTGTGTGTGCATGTGTTTTTTTCGTGACGCCGTGCGGCCCATTTTGTTGTTGTATGGCTTATTCAGGGTAGGTTAACCTGTGACCAAGAGAATCGACCGCGTCAAGTGTTGGATCAGTACAGAGGGAGGGCCGTGCTGGATGGAGAGTTCGGAATTGTTTAATGTGAACACAACATATGGAAGAGAACGGCGCACGTGGTTGCGCTGTTTCCTGTTGTGAATGGCTAACTCTGAAGGGGGACAACAAGTCAAAACTCTCTAATGTTCCCCGAGGAAAATAGATAAAACTTCCATTACCTTCGCGTGTGTGCTTTTCACGTCGTGGAACGCAACCAGCGTGGAAGGGACGGTTGGTGAATTTGTTGGCAACGAGCTACAGAACGAACATTCCGTTCCTGCAGATGAAAGGGGAGAGGGATGCCTTGGAGGTGCCGCGGAAATGTATCGGGTGTCGGGAAGGAACATGTCGCGGCAGAAATTGTTGATACAGCAGAGAGAGAGAGAGAGAGAGCACCCTTTTTTTGTAGCGTACGTGTACTCGGTTTTACCTGTGATGTAACTGCTGCCTTTGGCTGGAACCTTAACCCTCGTTACGAATCACCAACGACGAAACAACCGTTGTCGTTGGTCCTCGGTTTGCATGCAGTGCACAAACTTGGTGAGTGATGAATGAACGGCGCTTTATCCCAAAGGTGCTTGCGAAGCGTTTCTGTTTCCTGTCTTGCTGGGTTGATGACGATTCTTGACACGGTTCTTGAGTGCGGACCAGCGACCCCTTTTGCCGCCTCCCGCATATCCCCTTCTACGCTCGCTCAGCGTCGGGGCGGTCCTTCTGCCCTACTGTCGGACAATACTGGTGTTTTCCTGATCCGAGAAGCGCCGCTAGAGGGTGTGGCACAAACTGGCATGACATACGCGCCCTCCCGTCACCCATACGCCGCCTCAAGGGGATGTTGGCGTTGTCTGTGGTCGATATCGCTTCTTTTCCTCCCCCCGTCAGTCGCTTGGTCAATGGTCCAATGACCACGGCATGTACGACAATGAGTACAACCCCCCCCCCCCCCCCCCCCCCCCCCCCCCCCCCCCNCACCCTCGCGCCCCCCTCCGGCCGTCAGTTACTTGGTCTGACGAAATCGCTGGACGCGTGGACTGATGCTTGACGTTGCTTTTTTTTTTTGCTGCCCTTACCTGTGTGCTGCCCCCCCCGACAGTTACTTGGTCTGACGGAGTCGCTGGACGTGTGGGGCACCTTCTCGTTCGGGATCCACGCCCTCGTCATAGCGCTTTACTTGGTCTGCCAAGTTATCCCGACGAAAAAGGTACAGCAGCGGTGGCTCCGACATACCGTACTGCATCTCCGTGTCTTCATGCATTGGGGCGAACACTCGAACACGTTTATTTTGTTGGGGGGGGGGGGGCGGACAGCTGTAGGAAGGACGTGAAAAATATTGCTCTCAGGGCGCTATTAATAGTACTGGAAATCGACGTCGGGCTGCTTCCAGGACGGGACACGGCCCGGTGTGATACTTGGTGTTACCTGTTGTCGTCATCTACATAAGATATTGTTTTTTGTACGGAGAGCTATGTAATCGGCTGTATTTTTTCCCCCTGTGCCGTGTTCGAGTGTGTGGCTTGTGACCGCGGGACTTGTAACACTTTGCTCCGAAGGGTCCTGCGAGGAGTTGCCGAGAAAAGGCTCGAAATCCCTTGATCTCGCATGATGACGATGACGATTACAACAACTGACAATCTCCTCCTTGCGTCCTTTTTTTGTTGTTGTCGTGTGTGCCGGCAGGCCCAGTCGAAGAGCAAGACTGCCTGATTTCGTCCCGGCCACACGCCGGGACGGCAGTAGCAATAGTATGCATATCATGGATAGTACACTCGTTGTGCTGACTTTGTGGCCTCCATCCCGAAGTCAAGTACATGCGTCACCACGGCCCACCCATCCCGCCACGGCACTGGGGAAACACTACACAACAAGTCACCCCGAAATATCTACGTCAGGCTCAGGTTCCCGCTGTGGGGGGACGGGCGGCGCCCCCAAGGGCAGCGGTGGCGTGCGGCGCGTTTGCGTGCCGGTGCCGACTTCGGCCGAGTACTTTCATTACAGCCGCAGCGGCCTTGAGCATTTTTTTTGTTAGTTTAGTGCACGTAGTGCCTTTGTTGTTGTTCTTGTTGATGATGATGGTGTTGACGCTTCTGTTTGTTACGGTGGTGGTGTTGGTGTCGGTGCTGTAGTGTTTTTTTTTGTCACTCTGACCGTGCAAATCAGCCGGCGACCTCGACCGGTCGATAAACGGTAGCGGCGATTGTGGAAAGGGGGGTAGGTAGACGTTGGAAGAACGGACGGACGGGGGGGGCGAGGAAGGCGGGAACTCTTGGCATTTAATGTGCGTTCATGTTCTGGTGCTGTTTTGGCTGCTCTATTTTTTCTTGCAAGGGTCGGGGGGAGGGGGATAGAGGTGTAGAAGCGACGGGAAGCTTAAGGTCGCTGGTGGATATCGACGTGCGGCTTTCTGCATGATCATCTCAACTTTCTTCGGCGTTTCCGGCGATGTACTGTGTTTGATATGGTCAATGGAGTGAGTTTAATAGTCGGAAGGCTGGGATTGGAACAATCCTGGGTCGTAGTTCGCCCATATTTCGATGACGAAAGCAACGAACCAAAGTGAGATAGATACCCCCATTGCAAATCGAGGGATACTTCCTTTTACTGATCTTGTTGACGAGCACCAATGCCAAGGATTTCCCAAGTTTACGGGCTTACACGTTGCAATTTTTTGTACCCGTCGAGAGAGATGTGCGAACCGCCACCTGTGCGGATTGGCGGTCGATTTGTTCCAAGTTCCCTGGTGCATGTCTCCTTTTCCCGGGATCCTGTTCAGCCGAAAGGCTACTGTTGCACAACGTAGTCGTCATTAGGATCCACTTGCAAGAGTGTGTCAGCAGGTGCGCGGGTTTAGGCGGAACCTTGGTCGAATCATAGCGGGTTGCATGTTTTTTGTTTTCTTGTCGGCGAGAATGTTCCTTTTTTTTTACTGCGGTCGCCGTTGGGCGGCGTTGGATTGCTCTTGAGGGCGGCGCACGAATGAATTGGTCACCCCATATTCAGTGTCTTGACTATGGGGCATTTACTAGCTTACAGTTCGCAACAGACCCGATTGCGGTGAAAAGCGCGACGTTTAGGCGCTCCCGAGCTTGCCACCTCTCTCTCTGTCAGGCGTGTCCTGCATCGTGTAGCACGTCCTCCGTGCGGTCAAGCTTAGTGAAGTCTTGTCACTTCACGTGGGCCTCATCCAACAACAGAGTTACTCGCTCGGTGATGCACATCCCATCAGCGGGATCAACAGCGCGCAAGCGACCAGTCTACCTTGTGTTCTACCCACCGAAGACGAAACTCACGTCTCTTCCCGCACGCACACTTTGCTTTCACCAAAAACACAATCCATAACCCTACTTTAGCTTTCAGCGCGCGTCCGGCATGACACGTGGAACCAACCCCCCGGTACCTCTCATGCACACACGTTTCCACGCTAAGCTGTCACGAGGAAAACCGAAGTACTTGTAGTCTACATCCTTTGGTGATGGGGGTCGGAACAACAACGGTCTGGATTTGTTTCACTGTTTTACTCTCGTCGCGTTTGTTTGCAAAAATAATTCCCCCCCCGGATTCACTGCCGCCCCTCAAAAGCCCCAAAACGATATCCCACGCATCAACAAGTTCAGCCCCTTTGAGTTGAATCGAACAACACGAACGAACCCTTTCATCTTCACCCCTCTGCAAAGAAAGGAGAACTGCCCGTGGAGGGCACACAACTCGCGACCTCTCTTTCATTCAGCCTGCCACAAACGCTTGCTGTAAAACAAACACATTCCAACACCGAATCGCTTTTTCTCTCATAAAAACAGCTGCATCAACCATCGGATGGCAACATCAAGGGGAACCAAACACAAGCATTCCATGCGACACAAAGTCAGTCTTGTGTCCACGGATTTATTTGACAAAACACCTGGGGCCACAGTAGAACACAGTGATATCATCATTCATTGTAAAGACAACAACACCAACAACAATCGTAAAAGGTGTCAAGGTAGAATGATGAAAAAATAGAGAGGTACCTGGTGTGCTTTACATAGTAGCAGCGACAGCGACAGTCATCCCGTTGCCGCCTAGACTACGGTCTATTTTACCCTAGAAAATGTCGGCAGGAAGGCAACATTGAAAGGAATCATGTCAACACGAGGCACTTGTGGAAATACGCTGTATCATCGGCATTCACAATACAGTACGAACAATCATGCTCTTCTTGTGACCGAAAGCAATGAGCCAGTCGGACTGACGAGAGGCAGAGCTACACCCGGACAGCGCCGAAACAAGCAGGACATGTGGACGCGGTCTCGTCCCGTCGGCTGTGGTGCATTTTGTCGATCGACTGGGCTCGTTGAAATGTGGCACGCGTCGGGCGGCCCTCCATGCAGACGTCACCGATATCGTCTCCACCTCGGCCACTCCACTGTTATCTGTCCCTCTCCTACGCCTTGTGCGCCTTAGACTCAGACCCATCTACTTCCTCCTCATCGTTATTGTCGGTCTCTTCTTGGGCTTCGACCATCACGATCATGTCTCCCATCACCTTCTCGAAGGAGACGATGTCTCCGCGGTCGTCCAGGTCGGTGGCCAAGAATGCGGAGAGGTAGCAGGACACCTGTGTGAACCGGGGTGTGGCCACGAGCGAGCGGACAAAAGGCAGCGAATGAGTGGACGCGAGGAATGAGTGGACGTGAGGCTACTGCAGTAGTCCTCTTACGGCTTGGCACGGTGTACCATATCGGGGGGAGGGACCACCTTAACAGGAAATTCAGTATGAAAAGGAAATAGAACAGGGAGGGAGTACCTATTCCCTAAACCTAGCCTTAGCCCAACTTCCCGGATTGAATGCTTTATCCAAATGTTTCCTGAATACAACAACCCTGCCAAGGCTACTGCATCGGGGAGGTATCTACTCGAGCAATCTATGCAGTGCACCTTCCAACACTACTTGGTTTAATCGATCAAACACAACCAAGATTGCCCATGGTTTTGAATACGGAGTATAGTCTATTCAAGGCTGGATCGGTCCAAACGTAGAAACCATATCTCAGCATCTGGGGGGTGAAGATTCGACCTATTTGATCCATTGGTATGGGTCGATATGTAGCAAGGAAGGTCTGGCTTTGGAGGCGAGACGGACGGGTTGTACGTGTCAAACCAGCTTGAAAAAGCACAAAAGCACCAACAGGGAGCAACCAACAATAAGACAGCGATAGCACAGCAACAGTTACGCGGAACTTCCACGAAAAATACGTTGGACACATCGAATAGACTTATGTATCTTGAAAGAGACCGCGCATCTCCCGCTCCCCTCCCAAAGAAGACGAGACAAAGCCCGAACTCACGCTCTCACACCATTTTAGTTGAGTAGCGCCGTCCAACCGTGAGAGCAGGAGTACATGGTAGGTATGTGGCGTTGCGCCGGAGGTCGGTCGTGGTCGCTGAATCAACTCACCATGCCCCTCACGCCAGCCGAGCCCAGGTCCGGGTGCAGATTGTCGACCGTCAAGAGCGCCTCGAAGGCTCTTGTCGACATCGTCCTCTCCATCACTTTTCGCTAAGCAAGGAAGGAGCACCGGTAGGAGTCGTGCGTACGTGGTACGCGTTTGGAAGGAATGGATGGATGCGAAACGTCC